GACCAAAGTATCTGAGCTTGAGCTTCATTATCAATCCTTCCAATGAGCAATCAGGGTTGATTTTATTTATTTGCAGGGTCACTGTATTTATTGGGCCCTAAATGAGGGAAAGCATTAAGGCTGCTCTTGGTTTTGATGAACATACTGCTGCTAATACAACTGGCAAAAGTTCTGTCATCAAGACACTTATTTTTTTCTGATAACCATATTTCAGTTTGTATTTTTCAGATTTTGAATTATGAAGCAGCAACCTTTGTGATGAAACAATTCAGGCTTTGAAGATATTTGTTTGCAAGCTTTATAAATAAAATATTAGCACTTTGGACCTCAGACAAGTGCAGTACCAATTCATTAAAATAATTCAACATTTTCAGGCTTAAGGAGATGCTTAAAGAATCCATACATTAACTTTAATGAGGCTCTTAAAGCAGCTATATTTTTTTCCAGGCTCATTTGGGTAATGAATAGCAGAGGAGTATTGCATTCATGCTCAGATAAGGTCCAAAGAGTTCTTTTGAATCATCTTCAAATTGCACAGTTCAGAGGAAGTTCAAAGGAAGATGATTTGATGGAAATATGCAAGAACCATTTTACCTAGGCAAAAGGGGCTGAAACATTTTTTTAAGTCCAAGGAAATGAGATAATATTTGGAAGTGTCTCAAGCAGACACCATCCTTAGTCACTGGAGTATAAGGGGGAGGAGATATAGCAGAATCAGACTTTCAAGATTCTGTTGTTATAGCCAATCTCAATAAAAGTAATTTTAGCCTTCCTGGAGTTCATTTTTTGGTCTGATCTATCTAGTAGGGCTGACACAGAGAACTCTTATTCCTGTCCTTCCAGCGTGCTGAATAATATAAACTTTCTAATAAGTGAAACTATAAGTTTTTATATGTCATACATGTTGTGTCATAATACTTTGGGTCCATGAAGATGATCCACAAACATATTTGTTTGGATGGAAAAATTAGGATACTTGCATATTAGCAAGGCATCCCAATCCAACCTGTTCCTAAGTTATCATGAAAGAAGATATGTAGATATGGAAGATGTAACTGTATTAGTGCATATTTACAGTATATTGAGATAGGTAGGTATAGTAAACTCTTAAAAATGTGGCAGAATAGAGTATAACAGATATATTAGAAACTGGTAAGTGTAGGTAGTGACTCAGTTGCAGGCTGTTGAACTATACTTAAAATACAGCAATTGCCATTTATAAAGCATTAGATATTATATTTGCACATCAAACATATTTTATAACCCTTCAAGCTTAGGGTTGAAATAAAATTATTTCATGAGTTTGAAATAATTTTACATCTTAAATAACAAATTATTTCATCTCAGCTGTACTCTAGGGATCAAAATGACTAGAATTATTTCCCCACTTTTTGCTTCAGTATTATAAATTACAGCATTTTGATTTAAAATTGCACTATAGTAGCAAAACAAATGTTATACAGGTAGTCCTCGCTTACCGACTGTCTCATTTAGCAACCATTCAAACTTACAATGGTGTAAAAAAAAAGTTTTGTAACCAATCCTCACTTTTATGATCATTGCAATGTCCCATGGTCACATGATCACCATTGATATGCTTTGCAACTGGCACACATTTATGACCGTCACAGCATCCCAAGGTCACATAATTGTCATCTGTGTGCTTTGCAACTGGCTTGCGACAAGCAGAGTTAATAGACAAGGCAGAAGTAAAATCATAAGTTGTGGTCACATGATGTTCTGCTTAGCAATCATGCAGCTTCGCTTAACAACCGAAGGGGAAGTGAGAATGTAAGCCCGTTGCAGTCACATGATTTTCTGCTTAGTGACCATGGTGCTTAGCGATGGAGTTACTGGTCCCAGTTGGGGTCGCTAAGTGAGGACTACCTGTATATTTCATATCTTTATAGTTTCAAATACCTCATACTTCAGTTCTGTTAGAAGTATAAATTATCTTAGCTAATAGCTCTTTTTACAATGAGTCTTGTTGCTACTTAATTTTAGACACAGAATTCTAAAAAAGGTACAGTAGGGATTTTCCTCTGAAATTTAAACCAGTGTTTGTGTTATGTTTTACAATTATCACATATAAAAACATTCATATGAATCAGAGCAGTATAATATATGCAGAGGTATGTTCAGAATTACTTCAGCAAATCGTAACCTTCACTTTAATGTCTCTTTCCCCAACTTCAGCAGGTTTATAGAGCAAGAGTCCTAGATACAAAAATTAGTTCAGATGCATCACTTTGTTCATGAGTGACCATGACCACACATCCATTCACACTAAATAAATAATTTCATTTTTACTGACATAAAAAAGCCGTATGAAATGTCAGAACCATTTCTTTTCCACAGAATAGCTAAGAAATCAATAGTTTACTTTTAATATTTCATGCACATGGAATTATGTAATAGTCTATTTATAATAGGATTATTTATACTTCCGTGGTAATCCTATCTCTTAATGACATTCTTGTAAATATGTGATGAAATTAGGCACGTAAACATTGGCTGCCATCCTATTTTGTGATCTCCTAGACATACAGACTTACTTGTAAGTAATATGGGAATGAAATAGATAAGGCTTTCATACCAGAGAGAGAGAGAGAGAGAGAGAGAGTCTCTTGCAGATGGGCAGGGATAAGTTGCAGTGGACTAAGGAGCTTGCAGAAAGTGCTTAGAATCCTTGTTGAGCTCAGAAATGGAGTGAGAGAAGATGGATGGTGACCAAAGTTGGATGTAAGCAGTTTCAGACTGCTAAAGATATGCAGGTCTTGCAGTGGTTTGAAGATCACTCAAGTGAATGAGAATCATGGGTGAATGAGAATCAGCAAAGTGGGAGAAGCACTATGGCTGGAGGAAAATCTGTGCAGATTTCCTGAGGGAAAGACCTAAGATGGTGGTCAACATTTTGACAGCCATGAGAGATTGCCAGTTATTTTTTTTCCTTAGGCCCTTGATTAATTCTATGGGGAATTTCATTATAACTACAAACATAATAATAGCTTAAGACAGGCACATTGACTTCAGAAGAAGCATTATTTTGTAAGTAGGGAAATAGTTAATTGCTGAACAGCAGAGCAATAATAGTCATAAAACAATTTATGATTTACTGCATCCTCTTTATAAAACCTCTTTATAGCAGAACCTGGGGTGGGGAACTGCTTTAGCTACAGGCCACTTACAGAGCCATCTAGCTATAAAAGACTAACTCTCAGAAAAACTGAACTTTTTTCTAGTTTTAAAATATCACAAATAAAAAAGAGTGAACTGTTTCACAAGAAAGTCTCTGTGCTGTTTTTTTTTTTATGTTTGACCCTCCCACATACACCACCATAAAGTAACCAGCACATTTCTGCTTTTAGCTCCGATTGCCCATGCAAAAAATTGAGTTGATACTCTGCTAGATTCTTTTGGACCATAATATTAAAAGTGAGAAATAATTCACCACTGCTTTGTTAATCACTAACAATAATAAATGGGAGGATGTTGTTCCATATTGCTAGAAGTCAGCTGAATCAAAGGATGTGCTTAAAATCCTCCTGCAAAATTCCTTCTTTCTTAGCTTTCAAAAATGCTAAGAAAGCATGTAGTGAATGCTCAAAGAAGCATTTATTTCATGCTATTTATATATGGAATACTTCTGACATATACAAGAATAATCCTTATAAAAAATCATAAATATAATTGCATCTTGTTTATAATCTAGGCTTGTTTATTATATTTCAGCCTAAGCCTGTGATTCATACAGTTGAACAACCATTGATGGCTCTGGCTCGATTCCTTTGTTCACATTCAATGTATTAAAATCATCATGAGATGAGCTTTGGCTCTCCTAGTTTTGGGTGATAAATATTTGTGAATGTACTCTGGAATGAAAATGCTTCAATTTTACCACCTCTGGACAATTCTGAAAACAGGCTAGCACTATGATGTGATAATGCTACATGTCACCATTAGGGAATGCATTAATACAATAATATTCAGCACACAAATAAGTAGAATTTTATCTTATAAAGTCTTTATCACATCTTGGCTGAATGTTAAAATGAATGTTAAAAATTGGTCCTTAATTGTACTAAATTCAGCTGCTCTAATTCAGAAATTAATCTGCATAAAAACCATGTTGGTATCATCCTTAAAAGAAAAATGAAGCAGCTAATAATGAACTTCAGGTTTTTTTTATCGAGGATATACATGATAATCACATTTTATAGCAATATACCTTGTCTTATAAACATATTTTCTCTGTAAATTGGGGGATTTTACAGCTGTATTTGACTGATTCATTATTAGACAGTAGACTAAAGTGACACCAACAGCTCCTATAAAAGAGTGAACTATTTTGCTTGTTATGGAATACCTTGTAGTTTTTTTCCTCCTATGATCAAAGTTATTTTAAAATATAAAATATCTTACAGGTTTTTTAGGGCTAAATTATAGGAGGTTTTTAAGCCATTTTTAATATATGTTTTTTAACTATTTATAGATTATGTCCATGTCTGGAGGGTCCTGTGTTTTTTCTTCTTTTTTATTATTGTGAGCCGCCCAGAGTCACCCATTGGGGGAGATGGGCGGCATACAAATTTGAAAATAAAAATAAAATAAATAAAATAAATAAAACATTCTGATCAATAATTTGCATTCGTTTTACCATACTTTGTTTACAGAACATCACAGGATTGCCTATCTTAATGGAGGTACCTGGCTGCTTGGAAACATCAATCAAGCTGGCTATTTTAGGGTTAACTATGACATCAGAAACTGGAGACTGATAATTGACCAACTCATGAGAAACCATAAGGTAAGCTCATTTCATTATATTTCCTGCAATTTGTTCTGATATATGAAATACTTCCAGTTTCTTATCATCCTTAAGTTTTCAATTTTTCTCCTTTACCCTCATAGGTAATCTCTGTCAGTAATCGTGCAGGTTTGATCGATGATGCGTTCAATTTAGCCAGGTATGTTTTTCTGTAGATAATCTAGTTTAATGCATATCCCTACAGCCCTCATATCTTTCCCTTCATAGTGTGCTTGGGCACAGTTTGAAGTTGAAGCTACTTTAAAACGGTTTCAGATTTCATCCCATTTCTTCAGTTTTATGTCTTTTCATGATACAGTGCAAAAATATTCTCAGCACCGCATTCTCTGTTTCTGACTAGTAAAAGCCTGAGAGTATTTCTGAATGCAGACGCTTGATTAATTTTCTTTAAGGGCAGTTTAGTGCTTTGCAGTTTAATAATCTGTTCCCATTTCACTAATGAACTATTTTCCTTTCAAAGTGATCCTTGAGCAGCATGTCATTTCTAGTAATAAAACTCTTCGAGCTTCAGAATTTTTTTCTGCTCTGTTACAGATAAAATGTCTTATTTTACGGTAAAATGTATGCATATATTTTCACCCAGTCCAGAATGGTATGAATGTACACACAGATCTTTAAACCAATTGTAGAAGTGGCAGGTTTTGCATAATAATAATTGCAATGTAACAATTGCTAGCAATATAATTTATGAAAGTAGATAGCTGTCAATGTTGGTGATCAAAGTTTGCATCATAAACCTGTAAATAAGCACCTAAAACTTCCTAGCTGAAGTGGAAATGATGTAAGGAAAAAAGAAAATGGAAATAGCATGAACAACAAAAACATGGGTAGAAAAGTTAGGAGAAGCAGCAAGCCTACTGGTCAGCATAGAAAGGGAGGGCACAGGTAAGTGGCACTACTATTGCCCGCCTTTCTTTGATCTCTACTATCATATTCATGGAAATAAAGGAAGAACCTGCTGAATTAAACCATTTTCTTTACCATAGCAACCAGCCAGTTGTTTCAAGCAAACCTGCAAGCAGGACTTGAAAGTAATAATACATTTCAATACTTTTGCTTCTCATGAGTAAGTGTTCCATAACATACTATGTTCCATTCTGCATAGTTTTCATGACCAATAGCTGTTGATAGACTTATCCTCCTTGAATCTGACACTTTATATAACAATGTGCTTCCTTTTATACGTATGGACTTTCCTGCCTATCAGTGTTATGGGATGATTCCTGCCTTTAGAAGAAAGGGGAACAAAATTCTCT